ATATAACTTGACTTTTTAATATTTAATTAGAGAAGTTGTTTGGAGATTGAGGTCATAGATGAGATAATATTAAAGTAAGAAGTCATACTCTTTAGTCTGCCGAAATGTTGGCCTAAATTTTATGTTTATGTTTCAGAAAAAATAATACTTTAAAGTAGTTAAACAATACATTACATAAATAATATCTGTTGAAGCTAACCAATTATTAGTTTAGTAATATGTAACCCTAGCTATAATATATGAAGAAATTGTAAAACGTAAATCTAACAAATGAAGAACACATATCAAAGTGAAATTAAATCATGATGCAAAAAGAAAAGCTCTGATGACAGGATATACAGTCCCGAAACGTCAACAATAGTATTATGTTAAATATAACTTTGACATATAATACTCAAATTATTCATTTCCAACTTTCTCATATATCTATATTTATTTTAAACATATAAGAATAAGAATAGAAAAGAAGTTTATCCTGGGACAAAGTCCCTTTAGAATAACAAAATAGAACATAATTAAAATAATACATCTGGCCAAAATAAAACAATAATAAAAAAAAGAGAAAGTAAAGAAAATATTAGTTAAACAAGCTATTTACAAAAAAAAAAATCTCTGTACAAAACACTTTATCTATGATTTAACACATTATCTTTAACTATGATAAAACACTTAAAACTACGTACAGTAGGAAAAATTATAATTATACACTTTTGAAAAATAAAATAATAAAAAATACATTGAGTTCTTTAAAATGAGGTGTGTTTCTGATAACAAAGGAAAGACAAAGCTGACAGTATAAAATGTCTGAGTATTTAAAAAATGAATAATATGTAGACACATCATTGTCTAATTCTAGCTATAGGTACAGTTTTAATTATATAATAAAAAAACAAACAATAGATGCATTCAGTGGCATTAAGAGCAGGCAGATATTGTAATATCCCTAGTGAAGTTTACAGAATAGAATAGTACTATCGTTTGATGATGAATGATATAATAGTAATGCATAATATCAAAAGTCTAGCAAGCATCTGACTTTTTTTGGGATAGGAATTGAAATAGGAGGGTTCTGAATGTAGATATGGAGGAGGAATGCAGAATTTTGATAGGTAGAGAATTCCAGAAATTTACAGCGCGAGCTGTATAGTAGTTTTGAAATGAGGCAGATCTGTGAGAAGGGATGTAGAGGTCAGAAGGTCGAGATCTTGTTGAAAGGGAATGAACTGAGGACTTGAATTGGAGAAGATTGTAGGCGTAAGAAGGACGATGGTTGTTGATGATTTGATAAAGGAACGTACCTAGGAAATATTGTCTTCGGAAGGAGGGGAAGAGCCACCTTAACTCAGTGTAGTGGTGAGAGACATGGGAGTACCTCGGGGCACCGATAACAAATCTTACGCAGCTATTCATTAATCTTTTCAGTCTATCACGGAGCTCCACCGTTATTTACTTTATAATGAATAAATAAATATTTTTGTAATACATTGACATATATAAAGCCTTAATATAAAGACCTACGACTAACGAGAATTCAGGGCTTGAGATTGGTCGAAAAAAATTTAATTTTTTTAAGAAAATATTCGATATTATATTTTCAGAAGTTATTTTTAACCGGCTACTGGACTATTAAAATAAAATAACATGTTATAACTAGGACAGTGAAATAACTCGTTACAAGAAATGGAAATAACAGGTTTTCAGTTAAGTCGACCAGTCATTCCCATCCCTGCGTCATAGGTATATCTTTTCCTCCTCATTAAGCTATGTAGTTCACATCTTCCAAGTTTCGAAATCATCATGCATCTATGTCCTTGTTCTAGAAAGAAAAATTGACTATGTCATATAAATAACTGTTAGTAGAAACAAGTATTATTACATAGATATTATAATTTTATCACAAAACTGAAACAGACTTAAATAATTTTTCCATGTGCCTATCTATGAGTAATTTCTTTGTCATTGAAAACAAATATATTTGAAATAGATAAATCAATTTTCATATAATTTTAAGATGGGGTTACCCATTACGAACAGAAACCCAATCTGACGAAAACAAAAAAAAGGAGGTTTACACGTTTTTGAATTTCCAGAAGTTGGGAATCGCATTTGCTCTAATACACGGTGGACCAGACCGCCCTACCATGCATCCCCTCCCACCCCCCTCTCCATCCCCCTCATCCCTATAAATTGCATATCGTTGTGTTCCTTAGAGCTATTTATTAAAAAAAAAAAAGCCAATGTTCCTACAAAAAAAAGTGAACGCACTGCCCCAAAATGGCGTCCAAACATGGCGGATTGAGGCCTTTGACTTTAGTATAGACTTGTAGACTTCAACTAACCAGTCTACCAACTGCTTCCTGCAGTGCCCGATACCATGCCCTAATGAAGACGTACAAAGTGGGTCGAAACGTCGGCGTAAATAATAAAATACTATTTTGATAAATGGTATTCATTTGATCGCACCTCCCTCTCCCCCCCCCTCGACCAACTCCTTCTCATATAAATAAAAAAAAAAATAATGCTTATATGGAAAGTTAGTGCTACACAAATCTTGCCACCTACTAAAATTTGTAAAAATAAATTTATCGTGTTTAATATAGAATAGAAACATTTTATTGGCTTAATATACATCGTAGCCATGGAGTCTGGCCCATTTAGTGTTAGTAAGGATTAGTTTTATAAGTAGAAGAAAATAAGTAAGTAAGTACAGTATAAGAAGACAAAAACAAAATTTTTATATAACAAACTTCATAAATATTTTTATACTCCAAATATTTTTACTATTTATATATAAATATATTTATATAATAAATATCATAAATGAGATATCATAAATGAAAATACATATAAACTAAAGAAAATTTACTATGCAGAACACATCAAAGCAAAACAAATAGTAGAGATCTTAGGATTACAACGCACATGTAGAATCGTACAATTAATAATAATAATATTTAAAAGGCACCCAAATTGTGAATAAATACACGTACGCCCACGGACATATGAACACATGCCTGACTGACCTAAAGCTGAGGGTTTGTACTTGTATTGATAGAGTCACAAACACTTATAATAAAATAAAATATTTTGTTCAACTGGTCAAGATTTTTTATATCCAACACACACTCCAGTGATAAATCATCTGTGGCAGCCTCTATATGTGTATGTAGGTATTTCCTTCTATGTGTCTCCAGAAACAAACACTCCAGCATCAAGTGCTTTAAACCGTTATTGATAAGTTGGCCGCACCACTTGCAGACTTCGTTTGTATTTATAACGTATGTAATGTTCCCATGGAGCAATTTTAGATGGTCACTACCCGATACTCTTAAACGACTTACCGTCCGTAACTTTCTTAGAGATATCATAAATTTTAAATAATTTTCGGGTTCTGAGCAATTGTAACCACAAATACGTCGATACATAGGGATGTAATTTGAATTGTAGGCACGTTCAATATCTGTGGAGTGTAAATTGTTGGATACAGTTGTTAAAATAGCATTTTTTTTCTAACAAGTATTCCTAGGTAAGAAAAACGATTAACGATTATCGTGTTTAATATATTTTATTGTTGTTTGTGTTAATTTCTCTGTGTGCAAGATCGTGTAAAATTATTAAAAACTATTTAATTTTATTATTTTAATTTTATTAACATTTTCTATTCAAATTTATTGAATTTCGTTGAGTTTAATTTACCGATACGAATACATCTAATTTATTTACTTTTATTTTAAAATCCCATTATTTGTTAACACCATATTCTATAAACTATTTCTGATGTACCTAGTCAAAAAATTATTCATCCAATAATAATTAGTTGTTTGAAAAAAATATATATTACCTAAATAATGAATACTAGTTGCCCCGTGCGAAAAATTCGCAGAAAATTTAGTCAAGAAATAGCAAACCAATTTGTAAAGAAGCAGTTCCTATTTATTATGTAAGAAAGTAATTAATACTCCCTTGGTCGATTACAATATTCCATCAAACATAGACATAGACCAAAATATTTGTACGAATTGCTTTGCTAAGTCCTATTTTTAAATGCTGTCTGGAAAGATAATAAAAGTAATAAAGACAAAATAATGTCCCGATCATGGGATATTCTAAATTATTAAAAAAATAAATAAAATGTAACAACAGCCAAATGTCTTTAAGAAATAATGAAGTTAATATATCAGCCAGGAAAAAAAATTTAGTAGACTATTCTACTCCTAAATGCAATATCGTTAAACAGGAAAACATTATTAAGTATACAAAAACTAATGGACTGTATCTTTGTTAATAATTATCCGATTTTTACGATTTTTTTTTTGTTTTGTAGGTAATTTAGTAACATTTTTAATTATCATGGATAAAATGCATACTTTTTATTTATTGAGTTATTCGCAAATAAAGTTTCCTTTCCTTCATAACTTTTTTCCCTGAAATTTCGGATTGATAGGACTATTTTTCGCATGTGAAGGAGAAGAATATCTTCAAAATGAGTGGTCAATCATTGGATTTGATGAAGAATTTACGAAGTTATGGCATACGTACCGACAAAAAAAAACATCTTTTAGAAAAAAATATATATAGGATTTTTGGGTATCTTAAAAATATGTTCAAATTTTAATTTATCTCCTTATTTCTTGAAAGGTAAATAAATAAACTGAACTGTTAATTAAATTTAATCTATTAATTAAAATCAAAATATTTACATTTTTTTTCTTCCTTAGTCTGAAACAGATAACCCCCAGATATAGTACATCGATATGTCTCACGCAGAACGAAAAAATAAAAACAATCGACGACTCATTCAAAACGTGTTCTAAATCAATCTTGTGGTTGTGAAATAATCATACGCTTGTAACGTTACAGTACCAGTTACACGAAACTGATTCAAAACGTGTTCTAAATCAATGTTGTGGTTGTGAAATAACCATATGCTTGTAACGTTAAAGTACCAGTTACACGAAACTGATACTAAACTTCGTAGAAGCGCTATAATGTGTGAGAGTGTGCGACAATATTGACTAACGGGACAGCGATGGATATAATCGAGCTTCAGTCAGCTGTTCGCTCAGTCGTTATGGGGAAGGACACGCAAGAGGAACACAGGATCGCTTGCACCAGGTACTGTAAATACGATCGTAAACAACTGTAAATTAGTAATAACTGTAATAAGCCTATTTACAAATGACTGTTAATCACTAATTACATTTATTTTTTTGATAAAATTTCTAAAAACTTTACTTAACATTTTTTAAAGTGAAAAGTTCTTTAGGCGCGTGTTTGCACTTTTAAAGAGTGGATTAAGCCGTCAGATTTCCGATGTGTAACGCTCAGGTGGAGTCGACTAATTAAAGTGTTTTTTCATATGGTTTAAAATATCTCAAAAATTAAAAATCTTCAGTCAGCGAGGAAAATGTTCATCATTTCATCCCCTTTATAATGAGCTATTATTAAAGATTTTATTTTAACGTGACGTTGTGTTCAATAAAAGAAGAAAAATAGTGTGGAAATCCAAATGGTAATGAGTTTTATGGAGAATATAAATTAAAATATCTCAGAAACTAAAAATCGGACCTGAATACTGTTAACGATTGAAATGTTCATCATTTTATACTATTTATAATGAGCTATTATTTATAATTTATATTTCATATTATTAATCTTACATTGTTGATGTTTTCGCTTTTATCGTGTGGTCTGAAACACACACGTTAGTTTTTTTATTATTAAGGTTGTTTTTTTTTCATTAGCATTTTTATGGATGTGTGCATTTAGAGCTTCGTTTTAATTTTTTTCGGCTACATTTACTTTGCATTGTTAAATATAAATGCTTCAGCACCAGGGACGAGATTGAGAGAGTAGCGTAGAGATCTCTTGGAGTCCTGGTTTTCCTTCTATAGTTGGCTTGGGGTTCCCTGCCTAATTGTATATATTGTATATAGGTATGACTAGTTTTTTAATTTACTTATCTTCAGTTTATTTTTTTATTGTACATAGTTTTTGATTATTATTTTACTTTTGTTAATTTTATATTTTCTATATATATGGTGTGAATGTGTTCAAATATCACTATAATTATTGTCCACGTGACAGATTATTTTATTTCTCCACATTTACATAGAAAACAGAATCTAATTAATAAATTTACAAAAAAAAAACTATGGGAGACCCAAAGTGACAAATTAAGTAATAATTACATTTGATATATTTTCTTTTTAAAAGAAAAGACAAAAAACAGTGATTTAAATCTATAAGTAATCATTCTTAAATATTACAACCATTTTAATATAATTGTAATATAAATTATAGTTCTTTCCATTCAACAAAGCTCTGACTTCACGCTTAGACAATATATTCTTTCTAAATGCATTCCTTCTAAATTCTTTGAGAATAGGACAAATTGCGAGAAATTGGAAAATATTTTGTGGTTCAACGTTTTTTTTTTTTTTTTTTAATTTGTTTTAATTTTAGTGTTAACATTCTGTCACATGGACGATAATTGTAGTGATGCAAGGCTACATTCACACTATATGTATTTACAGAAGATATAAAATAAATCGAAGTAAAATAACTAAATAATAATCAAAAATATATACAATACATAAAAATAAAATAATTTACAGATAAATAACTTAATTTTTTTAAAATACTGACTTACATATAGGTGAATTTATTATTATTTTTTTATCAGGTCTTCAAGTTTCACTTAAACGTCATTTAATATATTATATTTTTATTTTCTTCCAGACTAATTATTATTATATAAAAAACAAATTTAAATTCTGAATCATCTACTAATATGCCATACTGATGTGATTGTATTCTTGTGTGAATAACATTAAGTTAATATTATGCCACTTACGACTTTTCTTCTGTCAAAGAATTTGTTTGTTTCATTTTTATTTCTGTGCAAACTATGTAAACAAATGTTTGCAGATTTTGTTTGTATACATCAAAACACTTTTTGTTTTGATTTATTTTCTTGCTGAGGCGTATATTGAAAATAATAATAACTATGACTCTAAAATTTCACTGAAAAAGTTAAATTTCACCATTTATTAATCAATTTCTATAAAACTAGTATATTTTCTATGTTTTGCAGTGGAAATGGCTCATCGCTTTAATCGGCTATTATTAGGGTCAATAGATGAGCTGGCTAAAACCTCAGTGTTGTTATTTTTCAGTTTACCTTACAAATTTATGTATATTTCGTTTATTTTCTATATAAATTTATTTTTCTTTAAATTTCATCAGTTCAATAAATAGTTGCTTTCATGATTTTTTTTTTTTTTTAATACTATTCATGTTTAGTTACCTTTCAAGAGTGTGAAGTTGAATTCAGTAGGTCTTTTCTTATCCAATCGATTGATAGATTCCATCGGTGGAACTAACGTTGATCTTAGAAACTTGCCCTTAAAGTAAATCACGAACTTCTCCGCCAAAATTATTTTTTTGTAGTGAACTGTATAGCTTGATATCTCAGATCAAGTTCCAATTTACGAAAGATAAAGATGTAATTTTAATTTTATTTTTTTGCGATTATGTTGAAAATTGATTAAAGATAAAACTGCAACTCAGAAAAAAAGTGATTAATAATTTTATATGTAAAACAAAAACTATTAATTGTAATTAGGACCTTTTATTTAGAGAGGACACGCGTCGATAAATTACTTATTATTTCCGAAGTTTTGTAATTTAATATTTATACAATCATAGATATTGTTTTCGATTTCTAAGAATATCTTTAGCTGGGACGAATCTGTCTTAGAGATAAAAAATAGGAATTTACCTGGCTATAAATAATACAATGTATAATTATCTCTGGTTAGAGCAAATAAAAATTTATCAGCAGGAAAAAGGCCTTTATAGTCTCAATAATTAAAATACTTTATTTTAAATTTATACAAATTTTCGCCTCTTTTTTCTTTTTTTTTTTTTTTTTGCAGTATAGATATTGTTTACTTGTTAATATTCATTTTTAATGTTATTATGACTTTTGTAGATAGACTAATGTTTATTAGTTTGACATTTTGGGGGTGAAGGTCACTCCAAACGGACCAATATTTTTGTAGTCCACCTTTTTTTTCGACTTGATAATCATATTATCTTACGATTTAAGTGGAAAGCAATTGGGTATTCAGGAGTTTTTAGTACCTAATTAAATATACAAAGTTTACCGATCTTCAAATTGTAAACGCCCCAATTCCGATAATTTTACTGAAATATTTGTAGGAGATGAAGCTATTAAGGAAGTTTTAGGTGAATATTAATAATTTGATTATAAGGAGTCTGTACCACGGACTATTATTAATACTAAACATGTCCTCTTGATATACTTGATATTATAGACGGGATTGAAAAAGGTTTCTAAATTTATGTATCAATCACAAACCTTGAAGAATGGTGTCAAAATTTGAGAATTAAAATAAATTTCAAAATATCCCATCACTCTTTACCCTTCGTCGTATACCAATGACTTCCTGTCATACGCTATCCTTTAACAATTTTCCACTTATCCCTTTTGAACCAATCCGATAACTAGGACTCCATCTGGACCAACGACTCACTTGGAATCCTTATACAAGACTGAATCGACAAGAAACTACACGTTCTAAACTTCCAAATATCTACAAAAGACTCATATCCATGACTATAATAAGGCCTATTTGGACTTTGAGAATTCTGCTTTGGGGCTCCACTAAACCATCAAATTCCTCTCACATATATTCCTTACAGTACAAAATCCTTCTTAAAATCCATAATTCTCTTTACTTTGTCACAAATAAAATCATCCATAACTACTTTAACGTACCATATGTTTCCGATTTATCTCAATCCAGATACCTATCCTTCCATAACAAACTTCAGAACTATCCGAACCCTCTCGTTTGAAACCTTGCTTCATCTTCGATCACTGATATTTACATTCATTTACCGATCATCGTCCTTCTTATGCCTACAACCTTCTCCAATTTAAGTCCTCAATCCATTCTCTCACTACAAGATCTCGGCCCTCTGACCTATACATCCCTTCTCATAGATCTGCCTCATTCCAAAACTCCTATATAGCCCGCTCTGTAAACTTTTGGAATTCCCTCCCTATACACATTCAAAAAACTCCTATTCCAATTCCTGTTCCAAAAATAGTGAGATACCAGCTAACTATTAATACTATATATGTATTGTGTAGCAATCATATAATCATATGATAATACTTGGTAAGAGATAGTACATGCATTTCCTACTATCGACGTAGGAATTTCAGTACATACTTTTTTTTAAACATTTTTTTTTATTCAATTATAATTGACTTTTTTTTTATAAATATATACAACTAAAGTTTTTTATGAAATGAACTTATTCTATCTCTTTTTCGTTCTTCATTTCTCCTGTAAGTGTATGTTTATGTTGTTCATCCCTTATATATAGTTTTGTTCATAGTTCAAGTGATTCGTTCATAGTTTTAAGTGATTTGTTCATAGTTTTAAATACTCTATACATAGTTTTATCTGTATTGTATATAGCTTGTTCATCTAAGGTTTTCTTTAGTTTTTATTTTATTTTATTTATTTTATCAGGCCAGTAATATTCTATTCTTTTGTACAATTTTGTTATTCTAAAGTGACTTAGTCCCAGAATAAAGTTTTTTTCTATCTATCTATGTATCTGATAACCCTCCCAGATGTCTAAAAGGAAGATAGCTTCGTGGTCTACTTATGTAAATATATTATTAGAGTGCTACCAATGAGTAGTTTCTCAACAAGCGTTTTCGTATGATTATATTATTCCTGTGTACACTTTTACTAGATGTATTTTTATTTTAATACAGTTGTTAATAAATATTGAATAAATAAATTTTAAAAAATAGGTATCCAGATAACGAACCCATCCTGAAATACGTTATGAAAGCCGACCCTAAGAGAAGGGACCCCTGAAGTTGAACGCAGGAGTACAGTTATTGATAATGTTAGTGATTGGGGGAACAATCCGTCAAGTCGCTCTTTTATCCCAACCCCAAGCTGGGAGTCTTAGGGGACCCTGTCAGTTCTAACCAGGTTGGGAGTGACAAGATTAATTTCCCAAAATCTTTTTTTTTCTTCTTTTTTTTTATCAATTCTACT